CTGATTGATTTTTTATGGTTTTTCCGTGGGAATAACGCTTACATATGGGAAAAAGTACGTCGCACATGTCTCTACATGTGCTCATTCGATTCGCCATAGCCGATAACCTACGACGAACTGCTCTCAGTTTTTTCCCTGTACCACTTTCCAAAAAAAACCGCGATAATCAAAGGAGAAACTTGTTTTGCGTTTTTCTCGAAACTGTTTGTTTTCGTTAAATGTTAGAAAGCTCGGGAAGGTTTTAAAATGAAGGTGAATATCAGCGCTACAACCTAACGAAGCCGGAATTTTTGTTTTCAATTTATTTGCGTACAAAAAACTCGAGTTTTCTAAAAAATTAATCTAGGTTTTTCGAAAAAACTGTCTTAAAAAATGAATTGTTTTTTTCAAAAATCCGGCTTTGTTAGGTTGTAGGGGCAGGTCTTCTCTACATTTTGACACATCCCTAGGTCCGTGTCATTAAAAGTGAAAACAAAATCTTTGACACACGGACACCTACTTCTTGACCCTTGATGTTACAATAACTCGCGAAAAACTCAATATTATGAGCTCAAATTTTACTGAGAGCTATCAATGGTCAGATACATATTCAATAAAAATTCCAGTAAGGTTGAGTGTTCTGGGAAAAAATCAGGCAATTATCATTGCCTTCCTCAACTGTTGAAACTTCAAGAGAATTAGATGGCAAGTTAGTTTCATCTGTAATACCTTGTTACTAAACCACAATAAATCTTCTGTTACATGGAAAGAGAGAAAGTTCAATAACTCCATTGTCATTTTATGACAAGGCGAGATGGTGGTAGTTTTTCTTTTTTTGGTAGACTGTATACAGTTCTGATGATCAAATGTACGAATAAAAAGCTCAAAAAGATGTCTACTGATTTAATTCAAAAACCAAATGCACAGAAGAAACCGAATGTTATGTCAGACACATGCTAACATAAGTCCTATCTGACTCATGACATTCATTTTCCCTTATTCTTCTGTCTATCAGCTGATCACGTTCACACATCCTTTCTTTTTCTTTTGTATATATTCATCTGTTTTTTAATGTCTGGAATATTTGTTTTTGGAGAAAAAAGATTTGATAGCCTTAAGAGCCTATCACCGAAGAAACTACATATGGTTGGCGGTCATGGTAATTATAATGAAAATTTTGTTATTAAGTTACAGTTAAAAAACCTAAAAATCAGATGAAAGTTAGGTATAGAAACGCAATTTATTTCGACTGGTTTGCATTAGTAACAAGTTTTAATGCTTCTGCTAATAATTCCGGACTAACTGAATGGTCTTGTTGATTATCATCGCGAGTCGTAGAAGACATCGTATTTGCTGCTTTTAATGCGCTAGCTAACAGGTCAACAGATGGTTCTTCATCTTTTTTCTGCTCATCTGCTACAGTTGTCAGGTTAAACGCTGTTGCCAATCGTTGAACCATATCATCGCTGCTGTCGGCATTTGTTGTCTGCTCCTGATGATTAGTTGTTGTTGCTAATTTCACAGCAGCGACCAATGATTCGGGCGTTAAATGTTGTTGAGTTTGTTGATTTGTTAATGATGCAAGATTGAGAGCGTCAGCTAACGTGTCCGGCGAAAGAGACGTTCCGTTAGACATATTTTTGTGTGTTAATACAGTGTAACTGAAATATTTTTAAATAACTTTTGAATTGACATAAACTTTCCAAAATGCTTTGTTGAATCGAGCAACTGCGCAAGAAATACTTTTTGCACTAGGTGCAAAATAGCTGGGAAAATCGATTTTTTCAGTTTTTAAAAATTTCACCGCTCCGCCAAAACTTATCCAACCCGTGAGTTATTACACACGTATACTCTTGAAGGTGTCCTCTACAAACTGGCAAACTTTTAGGGTATGTTAGATGAGGGTACCGGCCTTAAGTTGAGGAGATACCAGTTTCTAAACTCTTAAACCTCGTAAACTTAAATTTAAAAATCTAGTTTTACGAATTACGCAAAAATTCCCCGTCGAAAATATCTGATTGAGCGGAAAATAAATGAAAATCTTTTTGGCTTACTAGAATTATTTATTTAACAAAGTATTGGAAAACATTTAGTTATGGTATCTCAAACAGAAATTCTTTTTTCTGTAACTAATTCATATTTGTCTCGAAACGCCCCAAAAAATTTGATACTCAAAACTTCATTCGTTATATCTTATTAAAATAGACGTTGAATGTTAAACGTACGAGAAAGGAGCTATAAGTAAGACAAACAAAAGAACATAACCGTTCTTTACGTTGGGATAAAAAAACTAAATCTAGACAAAATCGAAAGGACGAGAAACGGTTTCTGCTAGAAAATGGTTCAATATGATTTTGCGTGAAAATGGCAAGAAATGCTTTGCTTTTCACCTGCCAACACTTCTGACTTTCAAAAATTGCTCCTGATCTCTAGGGGTGCTGCTTTACTTTTATGAATTATTACAATGACTCTATGAAGAGTTGAAACGTCAGATCTTTTTTTTTTTTAATAAAATAGATTTCAGTTTAGTCTATGGCTGCTGTTAATTTAAAAAGGAATATTCTAATAAAATTATTGGCTCTTAATCGTTTCAATGTACATTATCCGGTAAAATTAATAAGCGTTTGTAACTTATTACCGCTGAAAGAGTAGTAAATCTTGTTGTTTTATTAGTTATCACTTTTGATTACTTTTCTTCTTGTTAGTAATAAATAAAGTAATAAAAAATTATTAAAAGTAATAAGTAATAAGGTAATACGATTCATTACTTGTTTACTGCTAATAACTAATACGTTTATTACTTATCACTTGGTAAAGAACAATAAAGTGACAGCCCTACTGATCTCTTTGAAAAAATTATTCCTTATCAGTTTTCGTCACTAGTTCAATGAAGATCATTCACTTTGTTTCTCAAATTTTTCGTACGATTTCAAAGACTTTGATCAAAGTCCATACATAGAAGGATAGAGAATTTTCTGTGCGTCTAAACGAGCTGTTGATGAGCTTCTCAAACACACGTCTACATAGCATACTATATTGTCAAAATACTAGACAGATATCATGATTTTCATCTAACTTAAGGCCTTAAAAGAATATTTCTTCCACACATCTGCTCAGACCCGGAATGTTTTATATATTGAAAGATAAAGAATTTTTCGAGCTTCACCATGAACTACAATATTTTGCTTTAAAAGTTTATTCTCACAGATGCAAATATACATCTTTTTCCGAAATGTGACTAAAGATGCTTCATTCGTCTGTTATCTGCGGTAATTTCTCTTTGAATAAGATCATCATTTAGAAGCTCATCAACAGCTCGTTTAGACGCGCAGAAAATTCTCTATCCTTCTATGTATGGAATAGAAATTAGGGATAGTTTGTATTTAGGACAATGCGAATTGAAAGTGCTACAAAATAAGCTATAGTACGTTGTTTCAAACCTTAAGTTTAATAGACTTATTGGCAAAATGCCGAACGGATACAGTGCGTTTAAGCTCTGATAGGACAGTGTATGAAGTACAGTGGTGTAAACATAGGGAGATCCGGAATGGCTTTCATACAAGAAATGCAGGAAATAATAAGCTTCAAACTGAGACACATGGGATTCTTGTAAACATATGCTTTCATACACTTGTACACTAAATACTATACAACTATGATGATTGCCGGTTAAAGTACGTGACAAAAGTTTGAGCTTTTTCTTTTTCTGACGTTTCTGGTCAACCACGACAGCTAAAAGAATGCTCTGAACAGCTCAAACATTTTTCTATCCCATGAGGCGTATATAAAAATTTCCTCGAAATGTTTAAATATCAGGATTTGGGAAAAACCTAAAGACCTACTTTCAGGTATCCTAGCTTCTATCGCTAGTTTTGTGTTAATAGTTTAGTTAGATAGAACAAACATTTCTGAGGAAAATAAGACGCCTCCGAACTCTTCACAACACTTTTCCATACAGCTGCATTATATTCACGAAAAGCCCTCAAAGACATTTTTACTGCTTTTCTTGCAGATTTTTCTAGTTTTCTATCCATTCGGCATTTTGCCAATAAGTCTATTAAACTTAAGGTTTGAAACAACGTACTATAGCTTATTTTGTAGCACTTTCAATTCGCATTGTCCTAAATACAAACTATTCCTAATTTCTATTTGTGAAAGAAAGTGTGATTATTTTTATATATAACTGAGTAAAAATCAAGACCCAGTATTTAGCCAATAAATCTGTTAGGATAAACTTATAAAGCAAAATACTGTAGTTCATCGTGAACCTCGAAAAATTCTTTATCTTTCAATATATAAAACATTCCGGGTCTGAGCAGATGTGTGGAAGAAATATTCTTTTAAAGCCTTAAGTTAGGTGAAAATCATGATATCTGTCTAGTATTTTGACAATATAGTATGCTATGTAGACGTATGTTTGAGAAGCTCATCAACAGCTCGTTTAGACGCACAGAAAATTCTCTATCCTTCTATGTATAGACTTTGATCAAAGTCATTGAAATCGTACGAAAAATTTGAGAAACAAAGTGAATGATCTTCATTGAACTAGTGACGAAAACTGATAAGAAATAATTTTTTCAAGGAGATCAGAAGCAATTTTTGAAAGTCAGAAGTGTTGGGAAGTGAAAAAGGCAGCATTTCTGGTCATTTTCACGCAAAATCATATTGAGCCATTTCTTGCAGAAACCGTTTCCCGTCCTTTGTTAAATAGATGTTTTTTACCTTTTTCAACGAAGTCGTTTAACCTTACAATAATGCTGAAACATGTGAAATTCGCTGTTGTCAAGAGAGAAAATGCAAAAAGGTATGTACAGAGAGGGCAAACAATGTAGGATTGCATGCAAAAAGCGTATGAAAGCATGGGCAATTACCTTTTGCTTTTTTTATTTTTGTATCCGAAGAATAATAGTCGTTCTAACACAATATTAACTAAAATAAATGCATTAAATCATGCTTTGAATCATTGTTGCAAAAATAGAAGTCCCCAGTGCCACTCATATCAACGGGAAATGCACTTCTACCATACCATTGTTTCGTTTAAAGTTGTGGAACTGGCTCTAACGTTTGTTTATCGTCAAAACTTTGTAGACCTTTTGAAATAACATATTTGTCCAAAGGACGGGGGTCGATAAGAGGCAAAATCAGCCCCTCTCAGATCAATCTCACATTCACAGGTCCGATGTAATTTTTATCCGTGACTAAAACGAGCACCATTTCTTCTCTTTTGCTCAAAGCAAATCTTCAGCATCGACGGATAGGCTAAATCAATACAAAACCGACTACCATTTATATCGACCTTTGACATCAGTGACGAGACCTCATATTATAGAGCTCAGCAAGCTGAACCGAATAGTGACAACCGCAAGTCTCCAACCTTGTTGGAAAAAAAGCTATAGCCATTTTACCCTACCAGCAGAAAAATGCATTTTCGTCATTTTCCAGTGGATTTGGCCTAACTTGTAGAATATCTGCTGACCATGTTCCCAAACGTAGAACCTTGAAGTTGGTTTCTAATGAAAGAACGCATCGAGTGCTATGTATTTCGACGGAGAAAAGTTATGTTACACTTCAGAGTCTTCAGACAGATTTCTGAAAAATCCGGTTTTCTAGAAAACCTAGTGATCTTAAAGTTTCTTTCCGAAGCCTTTCAACTATATTTTTATACTAGACATTTTGCTTTTACTATAATTATCTAATGCCGTTATAGAGGAAAAAACGGTATTTGTTTGATCAGTCATTTCATCGTTTCTCCTAGTTTTGATATCATCGAAAGGTGTCACTGTATCAAGGGCGGCGGAGCCACTAAGGCTCAGAGGTACAAACCTCGCCCAGATTTGGCCAATTCAGGCTCAGCCTCACCTAGTTTCGAACATGACATCTCATGAAAATACATAGATTTCAAGCCTCTTATGCACTTGTGGTAATGTCCTTGCAGTGACGGACAGATATTTACTTTTGAAAAGTATATATCTGTCCAGCAGCTACAAGTGCAACACGTATCAAAGAAAAGTAACTTTACTTTGATATGTGTTGCACTTGATAGCTGCCTTGGACTCAAATCGACATGATGGTGGTCGGATAGTCACACTTTGATTTCACAAGAGAGAAGGATGGCTTGAGATAATATTTGTATTTCAGATTTTGAATATCCAGAAGAGCATAGTGATTCAATGGCAGAAAAGCGTCCCGTCATTCATCCTTTTTTTACGACGAAAAACAGAAAAGAATCAGAGACAACGACAGCTGAAGAGATTTTGATTTATCGCTGTCGAATGACGAGAGAAAGGATGAAGTAAATTCTGAGAGGGACAAGTGTGTTGCCGTCAGTAATGATCAACTAGACGAAGAGATGCCATCTTCATCGATCAACAATCAATCAGAAGATCGCCTGCCACGATGTAAACTAGTCTGTTGTTTCGCATCAACAACGTAAGTACCGGCTCTCACGTCGGATTATTAGTCGATATCAACAAAAGACAAACGATCTTATCAAGAGTCCTGGTTTAAAACATTTTCTTGGCTCACTTTCTGCATAGTACGTTGCTGTTTTTAGAAGATAGTATTTGTCTATTTTCGTTTTTTTTTCAAAATTTCAGACAACGAAGAAAGTATATTGTTTGTATTGTCGAGCGGCAGTTAATCAAAATCTTCATCGAAAGAGTAATCTATCGACGCAAACATCCTTTTCTACTGCAGGATTCTCGAATTGGAAAAATGCTCTACGTGGATGTCGCTTGCATGAAAGCAGCAGCAGATTTCATTCCGAATGTGTTTACGCAGTTCAGCAGCAATCAAAACTCCCTATCGTAGCACAAATTAATATCGCTGCAAAGAAGCAACAGGAACAACGAAGACGATTATTCATGGCTGAAGTCTCGTCATTAAAATATCTTTTGCAGCAGGGCATCATCTTCTGAGGGAATAGCGAAGACGAAGGAAACTTATTCCAATTGATGAAACTAAGATGCAATGACATTCCCGGTCTAGATGAATGGCTGAACGAAAGGAAATATTTTTCCCATGATATTATCAATGGATTGGCTAAGGAAATGGCGCATGTCATATTGAGAAGTGTGTCTAAAGAAAAATTACAACTGTGCGAGTGACAGTAAATAGAAAGGATGTTATATATCCCTATTCTATCACTCACTGCAAGTGCTGTGTACTTACTGTATAAATTGGTTATCTTACTGATTTAGTTCTACTTTAAAAAGGTTCAAAAAGCAGATATAAACTGCAAAAAGTTCGCGTATAAAAGTAGTCTACTTTTAGAAATAAAGTGCCTTATATATATACACTCTCGCCACGTGTATGATTGACTATATCAGTGTTTTCTTCTCATTTTAAACGGGACGTAAAACAGTGTGTGTTATATAAGGTACTTTTTTAGACTAGAAAATGAGACCTATTTTCACCTATTTAGATAAGGGAACAGAGAGCTGAATTTACTGTGTACATCCTCTGAGTTTACTACCTGACTCGCTATTTATACTGACTTTTCCTTTTCCGGTAAAGATTATAACAAGATCAAAGCATTATCTGCTCGCATTAAACTTTGAGTGCACTATGTTCTCGAAGAAAAGTGCCAGTAAAACATAGTGCAATCGTAGATAACAAACGGTGACTAAAAAAATGTGAAACTAGTACATATCGGTGCAACACAGCATGCCGTCCACACTGGTAGTGTCGGACTTTTTTCAGCACTATATTGGAATTTTTCTGTAGGAGATTCGATCATGTTTCTCATAAGAATCTTATAAGATAACATACGAGTTTTGCTGGCTCTTACCAATTTCTTATAAATTCTTGTGAGATTCTTAATAGATACTTATAAGATTCAGCAGAATTCTTGTCACTTTCGTGGAAGATCTTATATAAGAATTGAGTAAGATTCTTATAAGATTCCACAAATTTTTTTTGTCTGGGGATCGAACTCCGCCGCTAAGCGTTTCCTGTCACACATACAGCCATTTATTATAGGAAGCAATAAATGGCTTAGCCATTTATTCTAGAAAATAGTCATTTGTGCTAGAGATTCCGTCCTAGGACACATTTTTTCTTTGCACGACAGGAGCCATTTATTCTAGGGAGTAATAAATGGCTTAGCCATTTATGCTAGAAAAAAAGCCATTTATCCTACAAAATAGGCATTTATGCTAGAAATTTCCTACTACGAAACATTTTTTCTTTGCACCCATTTATTCCGAAAAAAGCGTGGGTGAGCCATTTAGTCTAGAAACGGCGCAATTTGTTTATCTACTAATACATTGTAACTGCTGGAAATAGGCTACCGAAACTACTGAAGTAGGCAATCTTGCTCGATTGGGCCAGAAAGTGTGTCAACGTGCTGACCGATTATGAAACTATTCTGTTCGAGGCGATTTGTATTCGTTTTTACAGCTGAAATCGATGATGTATCTGCGAGGGAAGTACTGAAATGGGATTCAAGTATTGAACAAGCTGATCAGTATGCTAAGAGTTTGTTGGAAGGAGCAACAGATGAACATGATTTGATGTGTAATTGCTCAGGACTAGGCGTTTTCGGAAAATTTTGTGAATATAAATTCTCTATAGATCGTTTGATGTTTGATGAAGGTATTACAAAGCAGTTTCAATCAACCACTGAAGTTAGATGTCAGTATCAGTATCACAATAATCGTCCATGGTATCAAATACATTTGAATGTGATTTTGGTTTGATGTGTTTAGTTTGGTCACATTCGCGATGGTTAGAATTTGATATTCATGTCTTACAAGGGAACCGCCCCAAGTGATAAACCGTTTTTCGGCCAAAATCAAGTAAATTATAGGTTTTCGACCATGTTGATTCCGAATATGACCACCGGAGTTCTCCTTAGGCCTCTAGAGATCGGATTTCTGGAAAACCGTTTCTGGACTTTGCAGACCCACTTTGCGGAAATTATTTTAACTTCTTCAGGTTGTAGAGGATGTCGAGTTATCTATAGAAAACTAATTTGTTAAGGTTTGAGTAGATTTTTTAGCATGATATAAAAATATCTTGAGTCTTAGCTATATTAGGAAAAGACCATCGAACGTACTTTTGCATTTTCTAGCCCAAAAATCGACTCACACTTCAAAAACGTTAGCTTTCCATAGACAACGCAACATGCTTTGCAATCTGAACGGATCAAAAATAATTTCCGAAAGGCAGGCCCGCAAAGTTCAGAACTGGCTTTCCAAAAACCAGATCTTGGGAGGTCTGTGGACCGTTCCTGTGGTCATATTCGAAATTAGCATGGTTGAAACCTATAATCCACTTGGTTTTGGCTGAAAAGCGATTTGTCGCCTGAGGCGGTTCCCAGTTTTGCGTCTTTTTGTTCGAAACGACTTTTTTTCTTTCTGGGACCACGCTATGTGAGGCGTTCAATCTTGTTTAGTGATTGGTGACGCGTTCATTCGACAAACACAATAACCGGAATACGGTGTCTAGTAATGCACTGAAACTTAGGTTATTTCGTGCGTCCTCGTACTTGTTTTGTCTTTCTAATGCGCGTAGTTGGATGCGATCGTCGTTAACTTTCATCAGCTAACAAATCAAGTTACTTTGTGTGTATGTACAGAAGAAACAGAGAAACACAAAAAAGAAATAGATGATGACAGTGTGGATTTTCTTACTTTGGTTTTGCTAATAGATGTTATAAGGGGTAAAAGAAAAGATTTTTTTGTTGCTGGCTGTCAATCATCCAAAAACATTTCTTATGTACGTGTTACAAAAGAAATAGATATAGAAGGATAGAATAAAATACTTCTTCTTCCACAAGAAGTTATTTTTCCAGTGCTTTTACATAATCAGGATGTGGAAAGCTGTATCGTCGGTAGTGGTAAATTGGGTTTATTCTAAATGTGCATTTCTCTTCACATATTTATTAGTCAAATACAAAGGATGGAAATTTGACAGGGATGCACGAAGAGTATGTAGTAAAAAATTGAACCGAGAAACGTTGCACAAAATATTAAAACGTCATCGAAATACTAAGTTTATGAAAGATAAAATTGGTCATTTTCAAACTGGTTATCACATTCAAAGTGTCGAAGAATTCAAGTAAGTCTCAGTTACACTTTACACCGTATAACGTCACACTGTATTGAAAAAGAAGCAAAAATACGGTACGAAAATCTTTCTTATAAGCCATTCCATGAAAAACACGACTATTTCTCGGTATGTCCGCTCACAGTCCATACTGCAAATTGGTTCTCTATAGTTTTCTGTGTAGTCCAAGATGTGCTCTTTCAAATGGCGTTTTCCGTTTTTAAAAATATTGCTCCTATCAGAAATTATAGGGTTTGCAAGATGGAAGGTAAAACGTTCAAAAATAAGCCCGAAATCCGCTTTTCCCAATAAAATGCATATAACTTTTGACAGGAATGTCTGACTGAACTGCGGTATGCGCTCTGATCTTCGGCTTGAAAAATATTTTGTACTTTTTCTATTTGTACAACTCAAAAGTTATGAACATTTTATTGAAAAAATCGGTTTTTTGGCTTGTTTTTGGACGTTTTACACGCCTTCTCGCAAAGCCTATAACTTTTGATAGGAGCAATCCCATGAGGATAATTTTGGTTGGAAACTTGCGATATATCGAGATATTATGCTAAATGTGCTGAAATATTGCGTTAATGAGCAACTCTGCGATAAAAAAGTTATTACAGTTTATCAAAGTCACTCGATAAAACGCAGTAGGCGAAACTATCGCGGTATATAAGTCATTTAGCGTGGTAAATACCTGTATGTCAATAAGCCGCAATAAATATTTAGCGGACTCTATCCTGATAAAAGCATTATCGTAAGATTACCGAAGATAACTGATTGTTCTCGACAATTTCCGAGGAAAATTATCCTGATTTTTCTTTTGGGTTTGGAATCAAAGGGCTCTCTAAAAATATCACGATTGAGTTTCTAGTTATAGTATTTGTGGTTTTTTTTATATTGTGTTTCGGTATGTTTCCTCTTCGTCAGAGAGTCTCTTTCCCTCTTTTTGAACAAGAAAATTTCTGCTGCAGTTTGAATTGGCAGTATACTGCATTTCTCTTCGAATTTGTTTTTGCGCTCTTTATTGGTTGAACACTAGTTCTTATGCAGAGAAAATAAACAAGACATATAGAGAAAACAATGTTAAGAAGATTGGAACATAGTAGGAAAAGGAAAAAATACAAAGCTATTATTTGTTTCATCATGCAAATACGCACATTTCTCTATTAGTTGATGTGATTTGAAAAACGATCTCTGGAAACCTACATTTTTCAGCACGCAAATATCGAAACGATAAGACTCGATAAAATGTCGAATTATTTACCCATTCGACTTTTTTCTTTCGAATTTGTTATATGGGGAATTTTCGGTTTTGGATAAAGCTCAAATAATTCGTGACAGTTTATCTTAAAACAATTGGTTGGCGCAGATTTAGGTACTATCTGGTCTTCTGGCTACACCTGCTATCAATATAATTGCTTTTCTCCTACTGAATGTACACAGTAGTTAGTACAAAAACTGAAATTTTGTTGGTTGCGTTAAAATACTTATGTGAACGGGCGTAAGTAGAAAAATTGAAATGAAAGATGTCCATCTATGTGCTATCTGAATTATAATTTTCTCAAAGGTTCTAATCTTTCTCGTTTGAACGTCGACATTCACTTGAATAGACATTTTGGTTATGATATGCACTCTCTTCTCTGTTTTGAGAAGATTGCCAATGGCATTAAAAGCGATAAACAATAGGTTAAATAAGCGGAGCAATATACAGGTACATCATTGAACCTTGTGTAGGTTACACCCAAGAGGCCGAAGAGGATTTAGGATAGTTAAAGGAAAAGAAATGGGAGTGGAGAAACATTTTTCTCGTACGCTTCTCTTTCCTTGTCTTTTACTAGGTTACGATTCCCAACCTACATGAAGTATGATGACTACGAGCCGTATATAGCTGAAATTATGAACTGCAAAGAGAACGTTATGAATGTGGGTTATCCGATCGCAATTGCAAAAAGCAGTGGTACAACTGGCAAGACGAAACCAGTACCGGTGTAAGTTTGACTCTTTACTCTTTGCATATTCACTGCCAGGGCCGTAAATAGGGGGTCATCTTTGAGGGAGATATAAACAGAAAACACTTTTTCGAGGGGAAGGGGGGATGAAAATTTTTTTTTAATTTCGCTGCGAGAAACTGATTAAAAAAGTTTGGAGGGAGGGGTGTACATTCCCACCCCAACATATTACGCCTTTGTTGACTCCATTCCATTCTACTGCTTTCTCCCTCTAGTTATACACTGGATGTAAACGAAGCATACATCATCTGTTACATGCTAACAAAATCTTCTGCTTCTATCATCGGTTGTAATTCCGTTTCACTCAACAGTCTAAGTTACACAGATCATCTTAATTTACCATCGAACAAGAAAGCAAAGATTAGTGCCATTACAACGATCGCTGCGTATGAAAAACAGGATGTGAGTAACCTGCTACAATGTCAGAGAGTCGTGCCAGCTGAAGTTTATGAGAAAATTACAAATGCCAGTGATCTGCTGCTGCTAATCGCCCTATGGTCAATGAAGAAGAAGAAACTGGAAGTCATTACGTGTACATTTGTAATGACACTGCTGGCATTCTTTACGTTGATAGAAGAAAAGTTCGACTTGATTTGTAATTATATTGAATTGGTAAGATACACAGGTAGCCTTTTTCGAATTGTTTGAGCTTCAAAAAGACGTCTTACTTTCAAAAAAAACAACAGGCTTTCTCCACCTTCTTCAGTCTCAGGGGAATTACAATGGCAATCAACCACACTTTACCGGAGTTCTATCACAAACGTTGAAACCTATCTCATCTGAAAGAGCATCAAATTCTCAGCAAGAATTAGTTTAATATCTTTTTGGATATTGTCAGCAGGCCCAGGGTGAGCACAGGGGCTTTCTAGTTTCCACAGGATTCAACGGCCACTTCGGGTCCAATTTTCTCACGAAGGACACAACTAGTAAAGCTAAAACTTCCAGGACGTACACTAGACGTACAAAAGAACAAAAAGCCCTCTTGGACCTAATCTCCAAACCGCTCTTCTCATCCAGTAAAGCTTGTTGCAAGATGGAGCAAAAATCGAAAAAACGGTCATGTGGAAAACAACTTTTCATCGGCAAGGCAAACTCGAACAAAAGTGCTTCAGATTGGGGTTTCTCGTCTTCGGAACTGTACAAAAAAGTAGCTTGTATGTTTCCGGAGCCCTCTAGTAAGCCTGCTGAGAGTCATCTTTGAGAGCGAAAACACGATTTTTGCGTATACCAATGAAGTTAAATCTAATTTTTCATGGCCTTAGCCGTATTTTCTGATGTTCCCATTACAATTTTTGGATTCTTCATAGTCAAGAGTATATCAATCAACTCTATCTCATTGCTATATTTTGCACTCTCGAGATAAAGGTCCCTAAAGATCCCGATTTTCTACAAACCCTACCAACGGTTGATAAAGTCTAAAAACGTTCAAAAGAATGCGGATGGATAGAGAATTTAATTTTCTTCAAAATGAAATCCTGCTCGAAGCTTTTGAACGTGGTCTGATGGAGTTGTAGTCCGAAGAATAGGTTGGTCCAAAAATACTCAAAAAACTCAGTATAATTCTGGTTTACGGCAGCTCAAATTATCTCCGGTTCAATTTCGTCAAACAAGGTTCAAAACATTTTGAGGATGGTCATAATTTGTAGAGAATTGAGGTGTCTATTTCCTGGCATCCTTTTGAAAACCACTATTCTATATTTGAAATCCATTTTCGACTTGAAGATGCACTCCCTCCTATATTGCTTATCCATGTAGGAACCAGTTAATTAATTTCGACTACCAAGCTCCGTTAATCCATGAGCAACAGCTAATTGTACCGTTTTGCGTTTTTCTAGGGTACACTTCCACCAGACGAATCGTTATGTTCACCCTTACCACCCGATCTACGCCTCTCACTAGAATCCCAATTTCCAAAAGCAAATCCTGCACGAGCCAATGAACTACGTTCACTTGTTGACGTTACGGAGCACAAACCATTTCATCATATTTCAACAAAAATCTGGCCTCACCTAAAATGTGCCGTCTGTATCATCAGCTCGACATTGAAATCGTTTGAATCAAAGCTGCACTCAACGTACTGGAATCCCCAGACACCAATATTTCCCTACGTCTACGGTATGAGTGAACAACATCGTATTGCTGTACCACGAAAAGTAAATTCCTACGAACTCGTTCCACTCCCACAATCAGTTTACTATGAATTTATTGAAGAAGATGAATGGAACAAAGAAAATCCGAACTCATTAGAGCTACATCAAGTCGAAGGTAAAAGTAGAAATGAGTAATATTCGATGAAGTTAAATTCATATGATACCTACCACCATTACATCGACATCAAACGGCAGGAACGAGACACACATTTCTAGATGGAGTTTTAGATGCTATTTCCAATGGCGAAAACCGCAGCTCTCTAGCTAATGCGAGAAAAAAGTTATGAGCATTTTAATATCCCAGCGGAAAGTACGATTTTTCGTCATGTTTCAGCGGAAATGACCTCTGTTGCAGAGCTCTGTATACCCGGATAATATGAACGAAGTTTTCACCCTGCTTTGTCAGAGAAAAAAATAGCATAAGAAAGTTAAAGGTGTCAGAAAAAGAAATTTCTTGCCAATGAGTATTGCGTGTGCTATTTTTTCTCTAATTTTTCAACACAGCAGGCTGAAAACTTCGCAGATGCTTCCTTTTGTTTAGAATTCAATAGGCTATCGACTGATGGATTTAAATAAAATTTTCGGTGTTTTTCGGAGCCTGGCATGATTTCTGGAAAATCAGGTTTTTCTGAGTTTTCTTGCTCAAGGTCCTGGGTTTGGACATGAATTTTCTCGAGTGATTCAGATAGAAGACGTCATAGGCTTTCATTTGCGACCACTTTCAAGGTTCTGCGACATGTTATCTAGGTATACAGAGCTCTGCAACAGAGGTCATTTCCGCTGAAACATGACGAAAAATCGTACTTTCCGCTGGGATATTAAAATGCTCATAACTTTTTTCTCGCATTAGCTAGAGAGCTGCGTTTTTCGCCATTGGAAATAGCATCTGAAACTTCATCTAGAAATGTGTGTCTCGTTCCTGCCGTTTGATGTAATGGTGGTAGGTATCATATGGATTTAGCCATGAGTTCTAAATCTTCTGTTGTTCACTTTTTAGAGGGAAAATGTTACGAAGTCGTATTTACTACTTATAACGGCTTATATCGGTATCGAACAGACGATATTGTACGAATAGTCGGACGTTATTATGAATTGCCAACATTTGAACTGACTGGAAGGTTAGTCAGTTGTTTGCTTATGTTAGTTGAAAGAAATCGCTCTTCACGTGTCTCTATCTTTATTTTAAGACGTAATCAGTTTTTACGTATCGCCGGTGAAATGGTTAGTGAAACAATGTTACGTCGAACAATTGATTCTCTTCTGTC